ATATATATATATATATATATATATATATATATGTATATATATGTGTGTGTGTGTGTGTGTATTTTATTATGTATACTAAAAGACTGAGCAGAGGCTTACAATGTAAATTCTGTGCTCTACAAGTAGAGAAAATCTTAAGTTTGCGCAAAACAGATTTTAGAAAAAAAAGTTGGATCTAATTATTCTAATAAAAGTAAAAGTGATTGTTATGCTGAGATTTGTTATTATTAACTCTGGAAATACAGTTAGTTGCTGAATCTAAAAGTAACTAGAACTGTGCAATTCGTTTTATTTCAATTCCAAAGCCCAAAGGCATAGCAATAAGTTAGATCTAGATCTAGCAGTTGTAGGCTCCCTGGCTGCTTCTAGCATAGGTCTGCTACTACTGATTCTAAACAGGGAATCTAGATCTAGCTATCGCCTGCACTATTAAAGTCAAATATATGGTAAAATAAAAACGAAACTGAATTTTTTGTCAGTCAGTACATCCCAATTGCCATAGCCGCACGTATTAATAGTTGAATAATGCGATACCGAAGCAACACGTTATCACAGTGTGCAGGGGAGAGCGAGGTGCCCAGGTCGCTGACCAGTCGATTCGGTGGTTCGGCTTTTGTACATCTATGCATTTTTTACGGAAAGCCCTATTACTAGATCTATTAGTGTTGTGAAAACTTCAACCTCTACAGCTCAGGCGTCAAAAGATGCTGGAAAATAATAATACCTCCTGAAGTTTCATAATTTATACAGAATAATACAGTACACAGCCAGTAGTTTTTATTTCATTGAGTTATAAAAATGGCCTTCGTATAAAAAATTGCCTAATTTTCAGAAGCAAATTTTAATAGTTCTAGTTCTACCGAATTCAACCATTTTGATTATCTTTCTTTTCCTTTTAAAAAGATGTAGATCTAGGCCCGTCGGATGTGGCAGTGCGATTAACACTGAGTTGTTTAGATCTAGATCTAGACCCATCAAAACACGAGGCTTCGTGGCCGATCACAAAAGTCTATAGACTATGGGGCTTATCGAGGCCGATTCGCCCTGCTGCGTGCACGTTCACTAAACTGCCTACTAGATCTAGATAGAATCTACTACCAAAGATTCTCTACACGATCTTTGCTACTACTACTATTACTATTACTACATGTACTACTACGAGAAAGTACGAGAGAGTGTCACTCAGGCAAAGATAGTGTAACTTTGACTCAGCCACGTAGTCTACACACTTTTTATACCCCAAATTTAACCCGGAAGTCCATTCGGAGGATTTGACCGTTTCACTCGACCAAAGTGTGCCAAAATGGTAGCCTAGCTTTTGCCCCTCCATGAAGGAAAAATCTGGCCCTCATTCAAACCACTGGGATTGAGCAAAATTTTGCGTATTGTGCTTTGTTCTTTACAATATTCATTATGGTTATGATTTATAAGTTGTACACTGAGACAAAACCGTACTTAATGAGAAAGGTGCACCATTATGAAAGTGGAACGAACTCAGTTGCCTGAAAAGGGTAGTTTGAGCATGTGTGGCCTAAATAAGCTAAACCCCCCTCCCTTACATTATTTAGGCCATATGTGGCCCAAATAAGCACTCCCCCACCCCCCACCCACCAAAAAAGGCCTACTGAATTGTAAATATAATAAAAATTTTAGTGTGCAGGACCTAAAGTACAGTCAAATCTGTGTAAGACGGCCACCCATTGTCAAGGAGAAGAATGGCCGTACAGGTGGCCGTCTTAGGCAGGACTGATCAAGATAAGGAAACAAACCATTCCCATCTGAGGCCCCAATCGAAAGTAGCCCCATTGTTGTTGTCTTTGTTGGTGTTGTTGCTGTTGGTTTGTATTTCGTTTGTAATTTTTATTTTGTCGCTGATTTTGCACAATGGTGACAATAAAACGAAATGTATCAGACAAGGAAGACCGATTGCCATGTCAAAACACACTCATGGGTCGCCACCACTCGGAGAACGAGGGACGCTTCTATAACAAGTTCATGTTGACGTCCTTTTTTACTTTGTTACAGACTGGGTAAACAGTAACCACTCAGCTCACTTACGATTTGTGTATGAGTTCTGGGCGGGGCTTATGGGTTATGAGGGATCACACGCTTACCTCATAAGCAGCTGAAAATTGGTAGCTATTGGTCAACAATGGGAGGGGCCTACGCAACATGATCTGTTGGAGGGACTACCTAACAACAACGACAGGTAATTGGATTATGACGGCTCGCCCACAACGCCAGGTGCCAATGCACAATGTATGATAAAACGTAATGGAGTCACTAAGGTGACCGTCTTAGACAGGTATTATTGCTTAGTATTATAGGGGTTGTGTGTTAAATTATTGTGGCCGCGGCCGCGTTGGACAGGTGCCCGTTTTACACAGTTAAATTATATAGAAAAAACGCAAGGGGGGGAAATGGAAAGTGGCCGTTTGTACAGGTGGCCGCCTTATAGAGGTGGCCGTCAGGGCAGGTTCGACTGTATTTGTATTTGAGACGAAACCAGGTGCTTTTATGACAGTGCATGTATTTTAAACCTCCTGTTTTCTGATGTTAATAGGGCCTAAGATAAGTACGGCTAGACTGGCAGTCTAGCCGTACTTAAGTACAGTTAGACTTCTTGGCTAGCTGTACTTCAGTACGGGTAGACAGCCAGGCTAGCCGTATTTAAGGATGGCTAGACTGTCAGGCTAGCCGTACGTACTTAATATTTGTTGATGGCCGAATTGTAAATGAAATTTTTAATTTGCAATGCCTAAAATATTTGTATTTCAGACAAAACCAAAAGGTGCCTTACTGACTTGCATGTATTTGAACCTGAATAATTACTAGATCTAGATCTTCTAATGAGACCTGTGTACTTAACAGGTTTGAGTCGATAGGGCCAAACCTAGATCTAAGTACGGCTAGACTGGCAGTGCATGTTGCGTACTTCGTTTCGTCACACGGTCATCTCCTCGTCACACCCAGAGTTAGAATTTAGAGTAGATCTTTAGATCTAGAATCTAGGTGTGACGAAATGACTTCGCTATTATATCTCTCCAAAATTGTTATGCTAGATCTAGTAGACTTTTGGAGGATCAGCCTAAAGCTTTTTAAAAAGTTATATTGATCTAAATTATCATTTTTATATGTAGATCTAGGCTAAATTAAATCTTCGTCTAAACTGTTCCATAGATCTAGATCTAGCTCACGGCGCACCAGCAGTGGAATTGTAGTTGCGCGCGGTGGGGGGGGGGGGGGGGGGGGAAAA